TTTCAAAAATTACTTACCCCAAAAGAACTATATTTCAAAATTTCCAAATGCCCGCTATAAATTGAATGAAAAATTATGTCCCTTTGTCTCTAAGCTATGTCATTTTATTTCACTTTGTCAAAACGTTTTTTTTTTTTTTTTTTTTTTTTGGTAAGTGTCCAAAAGTCATATTACTGGTAGATATTTTTCTATCTAAGGCAGAGTAAGCGTATGAATTTCAGGGTTGTAAGATTAGTTCAAGAGTTGACAACACAACATGAAAAACCTTAATAGTATGGATGATTAAATGTGATCGAAATCATAGTTTTAGGGTGCAAAGTATAACTTATTGTAAAATAATTAATTCTATTGAGATTTAAAAAAATTGATCTAATTTGTTGACATAATTATGATAGTTATGTGGCCCAATAATCCTTATGGTTGGTATAATGGTCAAGTTTGTTCTTTTGCAAACAAGTAGTATCAGGTTCGATACTTTTCACACCTTTTAAGGGTCACCTATCCTTGTTTCTCAGAAGATATGTTCTTAAACTAGTTTAAATTACGATAGTCGGNTTTTTTTTTTTGGTAAGTGTCCAAAAGTCATATTACTGGTAGATATTTTTCTATCTAAGGCAGAGTAAGCGTATGAATTTCAGGGTTGTAAGATCAGTTCAAGAGTTGACAGCACAACATGAAAAACCTTAATAGTATGGATGATTAAATGTGATCGAAATCATAGTTTTAGGGCGCAAAGTATAACTTATTGTAAAATAATTAATTCTATTGAGATTTAAAAAAATCGATCTAATTTGTTGACATAATTATGATAGTTATGTGGCCCAATAATCCTTATGGTTAGTATAATGGTCAAGTTTGTTCTTTTGCAAACAAGTAGGATCAGGTTCGATACTTTTCACACCTTTTAAGGGTCACCTATCCTTGTTCCTCAGAAGATATGTTCTTAAACTAGTTTAAATTACGGTAGTCGACTCAGAGATTGAGAGAGTAGTTGGTGTAAACTTGAACAATTTTTAGCAAAAAAAAAATACATGGTTCAATAAAACTATTGTGACTATAACTGTTGGACCTCCTTATTAAAACTCTATTACTTGACACATCACTAATTCAATAAATTAAATACATATTTTAAGTTCTAATAATATTATTTCTATAAAAATTAAGCTAAGCACTGAAAAGTTGAAACTTTATGGAATTATAAAATGATTTTTTGTACAAAAAAACAAAGAATATGGGGACAAAATGACTTTTCATACAAAGGGGAGCCTTTGGAATCTTATAGTTGGAAAACAAGTTGGGTGCCTATTTTTCAAAAGTAAAAAGAATAATAATGTTGGTTGTTGAACTGACCCATAAAAGCTAACAACCATAAAGGAAGACAACTATCATTTTCTTGTAGTCCTATTGATGGATATGAATAGCCCCGCCTTGCCCATAATTTCCAATACTCCCTTTGCTAAATGTCAAAAATCTTGGAGGCACTTGAATTGCAATTATGGGAGAGTGTTTCCCATCATCATAAATTTTTTTAATTTAATCCAATCCCCACTTGTACATGGTGTTATCCATAGAGGTTTCAACATTAAGTTAGGATAATGATGTTTATCCAATCAAATACATGTTTCATTAAGTTGATTTGGTTTTTGGTATGGTGTATTAAATTAATTATTTTTGCACAGTTTTTACCCTGAGATTTTTTGAATTATTTACCAGTCTAACGTTGTTTTAAAACAAATATATCAAAATACTATATTTTTTAACTTATTTATCAAAATACAATACTTTTTAAAAGTGGAGTTAATAACTCCGCTTTTATTAAAAAAAACGTAATCAATAATCCAACTTTTATATAAAAAATGGGGTCAACAACCCCACTTTTAAATAAAAAAACATGGTAGGACATAAGAGGCTTAACACAATAAAATTGTGTTTATTAACCACACTTTTTCAATAACGCAGCTCTTCAAAAAGCGTGGTTAAGAAACACGATTTTAATGTATTAAGCTCATTATATTTTACCATATTTTTTTATTTAAAAGTGGGGTTGTTGACCCATTTTTTATATAGAAATGGAGTTAATGATTACATTTTTTTTAATAAAAACATAATTATTAACTCCACTTTCAAAAATATTGTAATTTGATAAATAAATTTAAAAATATCATATTTTTGTATATTTGTTTTAAAACAATTATAGATTGGTAAATAACTCGAGATCTTTTAATAGAAAGGTTGCTCCTTCGGTGGTATAGGATTTGGATTCTTTCAAAGATATTTTCTTGTGATTTTTTCAATTGTAATATATGTATTATTTATTTAAGTTTGATGTACTATAAATAACATTGAAAGAGATGTAAATTTTGGTAATATCTACATATTTGTCATTTCTTCGTTCCAATCAGGTGGCTTTGTATGCCCTCGAGGATGCACATGAACTAGATCAAGAGAAGGCAAACTACTAAACTATTCAGGTTCGATTTATTGGTATATAAAGAGTGATTATTTATGATTGTGGTGAACTTTGAACTATCTTGTTCAAGTTGGATTATTTTTACTTTTTTGTTTGAATTATGAATCTAATCATCTAATTAAATATCTCGATGGATCGAGGTTGATGTTGATTTGAATTGGATTATATTCGTGGCTTATTGGGAAAAATCCATCCAGTCCCATGTGCACATGTTGGCGGACTTGTTCAGATCGAACACCATTACTCCAGCCGTTAGACAGTCTAATCCCAACATTGTACAACACAAACCCATGTACTAAAACAAACAACATATCCAGCTGGCACGTATCTATAGCCACTACCATTGACCTTGCACACCCTAATCTGACACGTGTCCATTATACACGACAGCATCATCGTTTTATCGTACAACCTTATTGTGTTTTGACGCTTCACTCTCTAAAACCTTAATTCTATCACACGTGCTGTCTTCCTTTTTAACGCCGGAAGTCCCTCCTCTCTCCTCCCCGTTCTCTCTCTCCGTTCAAACTCAAAACACGCACACACACAAATCTCATCAAAGCCCTAGCCAGTTCTTGACGAACATCACCATCATCTTCTTTTTGATGATGAACATCTCAAATCCATTTTCAAAGCATAAGCCATAGTAATATACAGTTGTTTGTATATATATACACACATATATACGTATTGGCGTATATAGCATTGATTGGAGATATTGGTTTGGGGGTTAGATGGGGGCGGTGACGTCGNTATTACAACAATTATAAAAATATTCATATATATGATAAATATCGGTACAATACCGAATTTTTATTTTTTGGTACGTTAGACAACTCCAAAGTCTTTTGAGGAGGGTTAGTTTTACCATAAAAATTATAAAAAAAAAAAAGGCGATTTGAACCTATAATTAAAAGTGTCAAAATATGACATAATTCATTAACACCGCACGAAATTATAAGGTTTAAATTTTTTTAAATCACTCATTTGTAAATCTAACATTACATGATTAATAAATAAATCGGGCATAGATGAAGTCAACTAAAAAAAATATAATACACAACATGATTAGTTAATGTTTTGGTTATACATGATTCATAAACGATACGAATTCGATATAACATAATTCGTTAAATATAAATTAATAAATTAATTAAGTATAAATATAATATTTTTTAACATAAAACTGTTAAGACTCTATACAAATTTATCTCACCCGNACTTGATGATATTTGTAGTTTTAGACACTGCTTTTTGAGCTTAATAAAAAAAAAAATACTACTGTAGACTGAGAGGTAAGCTTGTGCCTGGTGCAATTTCAAAAGGATTTTTTTGGTTCTCAGGAACAGGAACAGATAGCAGGGATCAAGGGTCTGTTTTGGTTGATACTGAAACGAATCAATGATGTGAAATATTCTCGTGTCTCGGAATGTTGCTGTGTGAAATTCCAATTTGTCGGAGTCAAAACTTTCCTTTTTTTTTATTCTATTTTTTATCCAAACCGATCAAAACTATGTACCAACACAAAATTTTGATTTATTAAATTTACCTTGGAATGGTAAACTGTACACTAAACCTTCATTACCTCACAACGGGTCTCCTCAACAATGATAGATGTATAGCGTTTCTGAAGATATATTTGACAAGTNAAAATTGTGTTTATTAACCACACTTTTTCAATAACGCAGCTCTTCAAAAAGCGTGGTGAAGAAACATGATTTTAATGTATTAAGCTCATTATATTTTACCATATTTTTTTATTTAAAAGTGGGGTTGTTGACCCATTTTTTACATAGAAATGGAGTTAATGATTACATTTTTTAATAAAAACATAATTATTAACTCCACTTTCAAAAATATTGTAATTTGATAAATAAATTTAAAAATATCATATTTTTGTATATTTGTTTTAAAANTTTTTTTTTTTTTGGAAGCTGAAATAACGGAAATATTGATTTCAAATAGGTTAAAACTGTTTCCTATCGGAAAAAAATATGTTGGAACTTTTTTTTTTGTTATTGATGTAATTACTGAAATTGGAAATAAGTTAGGGTTTGGAAGCTGAATCNAGATCTTTTAATAGAAAGGTTGCTCCTTCGGTGGTATAGGATTTGGATTCTTTCAAATATATTTTCTTGTGATTTTTTCAATTGTAATATATGTATTATTTATTTAAGTTTGATGTACTATAAATAACATTGGAAGAGATGTAAATTTTGGTAATATCTACATATTTATCTTTTCTTCGTTCCAATCAGGTGGCTTTGTATGCCCTCGAGGATGAACATGAACTAGATCAAGAGAAGGCAAAGTACTAATCTATTTGATTTATTGGTATATAAAGAGTGATTATTTATGATTGTGGTGAACTTTGAACTATCTTGTTCAAGTTGGATTATTTTTTACTTTTTTGTTTGAATTATGAATCTAATCATCTAATTAAATATCTCGATGGATCGAGGTTGATGTTGATTTGAATTGGATTATATTCGTGGCTTATTGGGAAAAATCCATCCAGTCCCATGTGCACATGTTGGCGGACTTGTTCAGATCGAACACCATTACTCCAGCCGTTAGACAGTCTAATCCCAACATTGTACAACACAAACCCATGTACTAAAACAAACAACATATCCAGCTGGCACGTATCTATAGCCACTACCATTGACCCTGCACACCCTAATCTGACACGTGTCCATTATACACGACAGCATCATCGTTTTATCGTACAACCTTATTGTGTTTTGACGCTTCACTCTCTAAAACCTTAATTCTATCACACGTGNTTTTTTTTATTCTATTTTTTATCCAAACCGATCAAAACTATGTACCAACACAAAATTTTGATTTATTAAATTTACCTTGGAATGGTAAACTGTACACTAAACCTTCATTACCTCACAACGGGTCTCCTCAACAATGATAGATGTATAGCGTTTCTGAAGATATATATGACAAGTGATGTGGTTGGGATTCTTGGGAATGTCCATAAGATTCAAATGTTTTTTTTTTTTTTGGAAGCTGAAATAACGGAAATATTGATTTCAAATAGGTTAAAACTGTTTCCTATCGGAAAAAAATATGTTGGAACTTTTTTTTTTGTTATTGATGTAATTACTGAAATTGGAAATAAGTTAGGGTTTGGAAGCTGAATCAAATATGAGTAGAAGGACAATGAATAAAGAAAAAAAGAAAAGGAATTTGAATTTGAATTTTAAACCTCTGTATATCATTTTCTTTGCAGGTATGATTATTCAGGCTATGGGCAATCTTCTGGCAAGGTAAGACTAGTTTCAGATTAGTTTGGAAATGTTTTCGAAATAGGAAGATACAAAATTATGTGTTTCATGTATTGGTTTTGATAGCCAAGTGAGCAGAACACTTATGCTGATGTAGAAGCAGCATATAGATGCCTTGAAGAGAAATATGGGGTAAAAGAGGAAGATATCATATTATATGGGCAATCCGTTGGAAGTGGGCCCACTTTAGATTTGGCCTCCCGTTTATCGAGATTGAGGGCTGTGGTTCTTCATAGTCCAATCTTGTCTGGACTTCGAGTCATGTATCCGGTTAAGCGGACATTTTGGTTTGACATATATAAGGTGAATCTACTTCTGATATGCAGTTACTTTAAGTTTGATCTTCGTTGTTGATAATATTAGCTAGATCAACTCTAGATTGATGAATTCTGCTTTATGTGTGCAGAATATCGATAAAATATCATTGGTGGAATGCCCTGTTTTGGTAATCCATGTGAGTACTTATTGCATTTCCCGCTGATGTCTACACTCTTAAGAAATTTTCATGTTATGTATTTGGCATGTTGGGATCATGTAGTTGGATGAATAAATTGGACAGCTAATGAAAAGAAATTAAAAAACGGCTCTGTAATTTAGAGTTTACTCTCCCTATCTTCTGTTTCGTGTTGTACTGCTTCTATCATCGTCATTGATTGAATTCACCCTTTTGAAATTTGTAGGAATTCTTCAATTTTAGTATTGTTGTTGTAGATTAGCTGATATCAACTAACTTACAGCTTCAGACCATTTATCTGTTTCCCAACTATCAGAAGGGTCATATGTTTAAAGTTCAAATATATCTAGTGGCTGGCAACCATATATTCTCTATTGCAATGGCCACATATGCTCTATGGCCCGATTTGCAGAAATGAACTGCCTAAAATTAACTAGTTCCTTGATTCCACTAACCTGTGTAATCACTGCACACTTGAAACAAGGAGAACCTCCAAGAATTACCTGGGTACCATAATCATCCACTGAAATCATGCAGAATCACACTGCCAAGACTGCTAGTATGAGGACCACTCTTTTAAAAACTTTTCTGGTTAGATGCCCTGAGGTATTAACACTCTATTGCTCCGTCTAAGTCCTTACAGTTCTTTTATGTTTTGGGAGTTTGCTGAAGTACTCTCCAAATGAGCTGTTGTGTAGTAAAATTTGGCAGGTACAACCATACAAGATTTGTCATTCAATCCTACTTTCTGTCTTGCATGGTTATGCAGGCTGGTCAAAGGACTTATTTTCTGTTTTTTGCCTCTTTCAGTACATTTTTCATTTGGCATTGTTGTGTTTCTTTGTAAATAATCATTTGATGGCATTTGAGTATAAGATTTTGATCGGTTCCTCACTCAACTCAACAAAGCTTGTTCCAACTTTTGTGGAGCCGGTGGCTGTATGAGTCCTGTTTCATTATTGTGCTCTATTGAGGGTCATAATAGTTGTTAAACCATATGCTTTCATATTTTTTTAACTATTTTATTGAGGTTAATTTTGGTCTTCCTCTAAAGTGTTGACCTCTGCCTTTTTGACATGTCTCAGGTAGACTCTGTCACATTCACAAATTGCTAATTTTGTCAAGTATCTCTTGTTGTAATTTTCAGGTTTTTTTGAGCAAGTAATTAAATGTTTTTGATGAACTATGCAAGCATTTACATTTCGGCAGCCATAACACATGATCAAGTATGTGCTGTCGAATAAATAAGGGGGGGGGGGAATCTTATAGGAATACTGGAAAGTGGAAACTTACTGAGCACTTCACCAGATTAACCTCCCACAGACATGCTTTTTATATTGCAAGATACCCTTCATTTTTGTAGAATTATTTAGAAGAAATAACCTCATAGGATAAAGATTTTTAGTATGGTAAAACCTGAGAATCAGCCTTTCCAAAATGGAGGTAAGATTTTGTACCACTTACCTTTCTCAGACCACCTATAAGCAGAAGTCTTGTTTACTCGGTATGACAGGTAATTAACATTGTGAAATAAAATACTCAATGAGTAATCTCATGTACACTGAATGTCAATTACAATTTCTTCATTTATAACAAGCTGGATATGAATGGGAAAATGTTATATAACACACGTAATTGTGTTGCATTATTTAATGGATATTGTAGATGACAACTGTCATGAAAGTGGTATAATCTTAAAAGTTGCACTAGGAAGAATCAACATTTATGTGACATGGATTCGGGCCATGCGGGGTCATGGATGCATGTTTAGGCAAGCTAGATGAAGAATTGATAAGTTGGAATGTCTTTTTCCCCAGTAAGTTATAAGTTGGGCAGACTGTTAGAGATCGTGTAGGAACAGAAAGTATAGAAAGAATCATATGCTACTTTTTGTTGACTACACATGTTTTCTACCAGACAGTTGATGTGTTGGGTACATATCTCATCTTCGTATCTATATATATCAATATGTTGTGCACATATCTCATGTTCAGAACTTTGGCATGACTTCTTTAACAGTAGTAACGCACAGTTGTTCAGATGAACATGTAACAATGCTTGTAAGATAAATGTAAACAAGCAGTTTCCTCTATAACTATTCAGATTTGCAAGTGGATAATTGATGTCCTATGGAAGTTTTTAATTTCATTTTTGGTCTAGTGGTTGGGCTATACATTAGTGGGTTCCCCCCTTAACCCCTCCCCCCCACAAAAAAAAAAAACCGGGATGAGGCAGGACTCTATTACAGGCCTCTTCTAGTTTATACAGGATTTAGAGAAAACCTTTTTGAGATTCTAAGCAATTCAGAGTCTGAAAATGCTTTCTCTATGTTTCTAGAGTATGCAAATAATAGTATAATGGGTATTCATTAATTTTGCTTTTTAGAAAGTCCAATATTAATTAGCAATAGTGACTCTTTTATCTGTAAAATGTCATATTGTAGCTTTCATCTAGTTCATTAAGAAGATGTTAATAACTTGGTCTTTCCATTTCGAGATGACTTTTGCTTTTCATTTTTTGTCCTGCATTCTCATGTGCATCAAGTTTTTGTGCTTGAACATTCGTAAGTCACTTACTAATGTGAAGTTATGATACTAACCATACCATAATGCACGAGGTACCAATCATTACATTTGATGGTGACTTGACCTTCAGGAAAATGAAAAATTGTTTGCTAAATAGATCACACCTGCACCATGCAAATGCTGACCTTCTGTTCAAGTGCATGTTTGCCCTGCTTTTTGACTCCATATTTACCTCTTTGTGCTCGCAGGGAACTGCAGATGATGTTGTGGACTGCTCCCATGGTAAGCAGCTTTGGGAGGGTTGTAAAGAGAAGTACGAACCACTATGGATTCAAGGAGGGAAACATTGTGACTTGGAGACCTATCCAGAGTACATCAAGCATCTGAAGAAGTTCATATCTGCTGTGGAGAAAACAGGGCATTTGAGGAATGGATCTGGATTGCATTCAGATCATTTGGAGAATCCTCGCAACAGCACTGATTATAGAGACAAACCTAGACCAAGCATAGATGTGAGAGAGAAATCAAGATTAAGTACTGACTGGAGAGAGAAGCCAAGGTTGAGCATTGATCATCGAGAGAAACCAAGAGCCAGCACGGACAAGAGAGAAAGATCACGAAAGATTGCAGATCACACTGAAAAAGCAAATTACAACTCAGACCAGCCAGAGAAAGCAAGGAACAGCATTGATCGGTTGGATTAGACTTAGTTGGCTAAGCGTGTCTTTCCATTTTTTTTTTATATTCTTTATTTATTGCATTGTGCCCAAAGTGGCATATTAAGTATAAATACAAAAACTGTCTTTCTTGACTGTTGAAATCAAATGATGACAGCTTTGGAGATATGATGAGATCAGCTGTATGGTGCAATATCGACTGTTTCAAGCCTACCGGAGCAAGGGTCTGAGGAATTGAAAAAGGTCAGTGTACAACATCAGATTTTATCTGGTTACTTCTGTTTTTCTATCGGTCAATTGTTTCGATTGGGCAATTGGAATTAATTTGACCAGGCTGATTTTGTGTCTGATGTAATCTGTCAAAACTAATAAATCAGACACATTTTCTCCTTCCTTAATTGGAATGGCTGTTTCTTTTAAATCTCCTCTTTTTATTTTAAGTTCTACTTATAATCTGACCGTGTCACAACTTAAAGTGTTGGTGGAATGATGCATTCCTGCCTGTATAGTCTGCAACAAAACGAACAAACTTTTTTATTGACAAGACCAACATTGAAGAAACATCTTCTGGGAGCAATTTATGTACTCTGTCATGGGTTCTTTTAGATTTCCCCAATGATGATGCTTGTGAAAAATCATATTTATGTACTACTGTCATGGTTTTTTTTTTTTTGGGGGTTTGATTTTCTTGACTTTTTTTTATTAGATGCTAATCTGTTGAAGTAATTCACTGGAGAGAAAAAAAGGGGTAAAGTAGATGATAGGGAATCTGTCTGTGGTATGCCTCTATGCCTTGCAAAAGTGAGAGTACTTATAGGTGGTGTTTGATTAAACTAAAAATTAAGACTTGGTGTTTGATTAAACTAAAAATTAAGAATGAAAACTGAATATTGAATCTTAAGTGTTAGTATGTTGATTTTTTTAATCCGTGAATCGTTTGGTATCCATTAAAATTTTTAAGTATTGAATTGAATCAAGCCGTTTGACAAATATAAGGAGCTGAAGTCTAAAAGTTAATGTTCTTCTAATTTTGTCGTCCCCTTTTATCATCTCACCATTATTACCCTATCTCCACCACCACCATCACTATCTNCTGAAGTCTAAAAGTTAATGTTCTTCTAATTTTGTCGTCCCCTTTTATCATCTCACCGTTATTACCTTATCTCCACCACCACCATCACTATCTATCGTTGCCATTACCACCACCCCTCCATCACCTTCTCTACCATTCCACCTTCACAACCCTTGCTGTTGTCGTTGCCTCCTCTAACACCATCGCCACCATCACAATCCCACCATCAATCAATTGACACCCCCACTCCCCATCCAAAAAAAAAAGGACTTTATTTGCTGTAGATAGTNTCACCTTCTCTACCATTCCACCTTCACAACCCTTGCTGTTGTCGTTGCCTCCTCTAACACCATCGCCACCATCACAATCCCACCATCAATCAATTGACACCCCCACTCCCCACCCAAAAAAAAAAAGGACTTTATTTGCTGTAGATAGTTGCTTAATTGTGAAATTTATGTTGCCTGGCATCACCTAGCTCCTGAAGTTGCTTCTGCTGCTGCTGCCTCGGCAGTTCTTGCAGCTGTTTGAACATAATCTGCCCCTGCAGCAACATCTGTATGTCATTAAATCCTGGAGGGTCCGCTGCCTCGGCTGGCTGACGTTGTGAAACACCAGGTAGTTATATCATCCTAAAACCCCCAACCAAGAATGTTAAAAATCAGCAGGAGCTTTGGCCAGTTTTCAATCTTAGCCGTAATTGCTGAGCAAGGAGGACTCTGGAGATGAAGTGTATAGCCAGCAAGCATCCAAGATAATCTATATAATATGCCTAAATCGTTTAGATTTGATAATTTATATTAAGATTTATCTATTAACCTTTTAATTGCATTAACTCATTGAAATTTTAACTTTTTATGCTGATAAAATAACCATTCTCTCTGAAATTTCTGGTCTAATCTATGCATTATTGAGCCATTTAAATATAATACAGGTGGTCTTATGGTTTTAGTGGGTAGGGGTGATAATCAAGCCTAGTTTTGTGATTTTGAGTCGAGTTTGTTGAGCTTATTTTTTTTAAACGAGCTTAAAAAATTGTTCAAACTCGATTTGTTCAAAAAATGAGCCAACCTTTGCGAGCTTGAACCGAGCTTTATAGGCTCATTTTTTAAACAAATCTATAATATTATTTATATTCGGCTCGTTTAAAACATAAGTTGAGCCAAATGTCGTTCGGTTCAACCATGAGCCCTATTTGATGGGTAAGGTAAAAAAATTCTGTAAAGTTGTCAGTTAATGAATTGCCCTCTGGAGATAATTGTTACCATGTCCTCCGTATAAGAATCTGCAAATATCCGAAGAAATAAGAGTTGCAAATGAGAACAATTGGCTTGGCACCAAAACAGGAAAGAACATTTTTTTCATCAATTTTTTCCTCTTAACCAGTATTAAATAACCTTGAATAGAGAAAATTTAAAAATCAAATGAAAGAATGGCAGAAAAATCCTGCATGTCGGTTCCATGATCGTCTATGAGATGAGTGTAAACCCGCAAGTTTTGAGATCGAGTTTTCCCTGATTGATAAAAGTTCTATAGGAATCCATACGCTTCATTTTGTAGGTGATTACGTATATTCGAGATTTGTATCACAATTATCAATCTAAATGATGTCTGGAGGAGTGTGTTCGACTGCGAGAATGCTATGATATTATCAATTTTTTATAGGACCATTGAATAGTTATAGGTAAACGATTTGTGCGGGATAAGGTAATTGTGAAATCTTGATTAATGTATACTACAGTTTATACTGCTTGTTGACCATAATTTATGAACTCAGTTACCATTGGGAACATATCATGAATATGTATAAATGATTTTATGTTTTTTTTCTTGTTTTGACACAAGTAGTGAATATAGAATATCGCATTCTTTTACGATGAAAGAAGTTGAAAATGAGTTGTTCCTTATTTGAGATTTTTATTTGAACTAGCGACAATCCCGTACGATGTACAAAATTTGTATCTTATCACCTTCGGCTATCCTTTTGACTATTTTCTCCCCTCCCTTGCCACCACCGTTCAAAAAATAAAAAAATTAGACAAATAATTATACAAACCTAGGGTAATAGAAAGTAATTTTTTTTAAAAAAAGAAAATGAATAAGGAGTTGTTAGTTAGTGAATAAGGGCTTGTGATCTGTTGATACGAATCTGACATGGATGATTATAAAATTAATATAATTATTAAATACGTATAATAAATAATTTAAATTAATGTTTAATACTCAAAACATATTAAATAATTTTTTTTTTCGTAGGTCCCGACACAAACAGAACACGAATAACAATTANAAAAAAAAAAGGACTTTATTTGCTGTAGATAGTTGCTTAATTGTGAAATTTATGTTGCCTGGCATCACCTAGCTCCTGAAGTTGCTTCTGCTGCTGCTGCCTCGGCAGTTCTTGCAGCTGTTTGAACATAATCTGCCCCTGCAGCAACATCTGTATGTCATTAAATCCTGGAGGGTCCGCTGCCTCGGCTGGCTGACGTTGTGAAACACCAGGTAGTTATATCATCCTAAAACCCCCAACCAAGAATGTTAAAAATCAGCAGGAGCTTTGGCCAGTTTTCAATCTTAGCCGTAATTGCTGAGCAAGGAGGACTCTGGAGATGAAGTGTATAGCCAGCAAGCATCCAAGATAATCTATATAATATGCCTAAATCGTTTAGATTTGATAATTTATATTAAGATTTATCTATTAACCTTTTAATTGCATTAACTCATTGAAATTTTAACTTTTTATGCTGATAAAATAACCATTCTCTCTGAAATTTCTGGTCTAATCCATGCATTATTGAGCCATTCAAATATAATACAGGTGGTCTTATGGTTTTAGTGGGTAGGGGTGATAATCAAGCCTAGTTTTGCGATCTTGAGTCGAGTTTGTTGAGCTTATTTTTTTTAAACGAGCTTAAAAAATTATTCAAACTCGATTTGTTCAAAAAATGAGCCAATCTTTACGAGTTTGAACCGAGCTTTATAGGCTCATTTTTTAAACAAATCTAAAATATTATTTATATTCGACTTGTTTAAAACATAAGTCGAGCCAAATGTAGTTTGGTTCAACCATGAGCCCTATTTGATGGGTAAGGTAAAAAAATTCTGTAAAGTTGTCAGTTAATGAATTGCCCTCTGGAGATAATTGTTACCATGTCCTCCGTATAAGAATCTGCAAATATCCGAAGAAATAAGAGTTGCAAATGAGAACAATTGGCTTGGCACCAAAACAGGAAAGAACATTTTTTTCATCAATTTTTTCCTCTTAACCAGTATTAAATAACCTTGAATAGAGAAAATTTAAAAATCAAATGAAAGAATGGCAGAAAAATCCTGCATGTCGGTTCCATGATCGTCTATGAGATGAGTGTAAACCCGCAAGTTTTGAGATCGAGTTTTCCCTGATTGATAAAAGTTCTATAGGAATCCATACGCTTCATTTTGTAGGTGATTACGTATATTCGAGATTTGTATCACAATTATCAATCTAAATGATGTCTGGAGGAGTGTGTTCGACTGCGAGAATGCTATGATATTATCAATTTTTTATAGGACCATTGAATAGTTATAGGTAAACGATTTGTGCGGGATAAGGTAATTGTGAAATCTTGATTAATGTATACTACAGTTTATACTGCTTGTTGACCATAATTTATGAACTCAGTTACCATTGGGAACATATCATGAATATGTATAAATGATTTTATGTTTTTTTTCTTGTTTTGACACAAGTAGTGAATATAGAATATCGCATTCTTTTACGATGAAAGAAGTTGAAAATGAGTTGTTCCTTATTTGAGATTTTTATTTGAACTAGCGACAATCCCGTACGATGTACAAAATTTGTATCTTATCACCTTCGGCTATCCTTTTGACTATTTTCTCCCCTCCCTTGCCACCACCGTTCAAAAAATAAAAAAATTAGACAAATAATTATACAAACCTAGGGTAATAGAAAGTAATTTTTTTTTAAAAAAGAAAATGAATAAGGAGTTGTTAGTTAGTGAATAAGGGCTTGTGATCTGTTGATACGAATCTGACATGGATGATTATAAAATTAATATAATTATTAAATACGTATAATAAATAATTTAAATTAATGTTTAATACTCAAAACATATTAAATAATTTTTTTTTTCGTAGGTCCCGACACAAACAGAA